AGATCCACATGCATACGTGCATAGCCTGTCCATGTATGAAAACATAATAGCAAAACCAATGAGTTGGTTTACCCATCTATGAAAAGCGAAAAGCGGGCCAAACTCATAAAATTATGATCTATCTATTCTATACAATACTTTGTTGACAAATATGAGACAAATTAAGAGAGAAGAGCTACATGCACGAAAATTCTATAAAATATATTGGGCAAAAAGAGGAAACAGTGAACGGGGACATAGGGTGGAATCAGTTTCTGCTTACGGAAGAAACAAAACAACACATATCTGCGTCTGGATGGGCTGACGGATGGTTGCAGGCTAGGCAACAAACTGCGAAAACTGGTTCCTTCAGAGGCCCCAGCAGGGCTGCGGCGGGTGGGGTAGGGGTGCTGAGGGAGAGAGGATCTTCCATACTGCTTGAACAGGAGGGTGGGGTACAGCAGCTTCATATACTCACTTGTTACGTATACTGTTTCGGAGAAAAGCAACCAAACTCCAAATACAAAAGCAGCAGCTGCGACAATGCCGGGTTTTCTCTGGTGTGAAACTGCCCCGCCTGTCTGCACAAGTGTTGGTGCCACACTCCAAGGTCTCCCCAAGTTCAATTTCGAAGTCACAGAAGAAAGACTGGATTGGGAGCAGGGCAGGGAAGAAGGGCAATGTTGGGGGGCGGGGAGCCAAGAAAAACTTCTGTGAAAGTTCTGCGGAAGCTGAACTCACGCCGAACCTGCTGGGCCCCAAACTTCACTATGCTAACGACTTCCTCCCCATCAGCACCACAGGACCAGAAAATAACAGAAAACCCAAATTTGAGAGAACTCCCTTCTTCCAACAGCAGAGTAGAGGCCAGCAGAGCTGCTCCCAGGGAACCCAAAGCAGCGGCCTGGCCAAGCTCCAACCTCCCTACAAAGGCCCCAGGCACCAGGCTCCTGGAAGGGGGCGGGGGGTGCAGGGAGGGTAAGACCACCACCCCCCGGCCGCAGCCCCAGGCCATTCCCTGGAGCCCCTCCACTTACGCAGAGGGCCCGAGCATCTTCTCTAGCTCACGACTGAAATCCAGACTGAACCAGTACACAAATCAAATGTTCTGCCAACAAAGCAGCAACCGCGTGGGAAAAGGAGAGAGAAATCAATGATAGCCTGCCTAAATATATATTTCTTCCTTCTGCTTGCCAGCAGCAGCTCTTCTGTAGATTCAAATATTTGATAGATATCTTGTTTGCTTCCCAGTAATAATTAAAACAAACATACACACGCCGCTAAACACGAAGCAAAGGGAGAACCAATAGACGGGCTTGGATTAGGGCATAACATTTGAGAAGCAGGCAAGACACTAACCCCCCAGGCACCGATATGTTCCCAGGAACCACGCACCCTGTTAATGCAGCAGCCAAACTCGACAGGCCCTGTGTCCACAGCGAGGGAGAGGCCGAAAGTTGCTCTCAGGGCACTGAAAAGTGCTTACATCTTGGAAGGAAAGGGGTGACCATCCAGCAGAAAGTGGGGGTGCAGAGTCTTCTGCAGTGACTCGCAGCAGAGACAGCTGACTGCAGAAGGTGGAAGCAGACGGTCCGATAAAGGGCCTCGAGATGAGGATAAAGCCCAAATAAAGCCAGAACCTGATCAACCGGCTCAGCCGAGCGAGGAGAAACCATCTAAAGGGCATGGGGATTATGCAGTCTGGAAGACAGAAGACGGAAGCCCAGGCAAGTTTATTACAGAGGCCAGCACTGAAGGAGGGAGAGGGCATGAGACCAGCAGAGCCCTGAGGTGGCAACAGAGCATCTTATGATGGGGACATGTGGACATCCCAGCCACCAGGACCGACTGTGTCCCCTGGCCCTGACTCTGCTTCACTTGAGTCTGGTGTCCCATTCCTCCCCCACTGCCCCGCGCAGAGTCTGCACCCTTCATGAGAGGGTGGTCCCATCTCCTCCCAGGGCAAGCTCTGTAAGCTCACCCACCACCACTCCCATTTCCAGACCAAACCGCCCCCTACCCCCTGCATACTGGGGGCTACAAGTCACCCCGACCTAGAGACAGATCACCTCTTGGGGAAGAACCAGAACTAAGGACCACACCCCCCTGGTGGGTCCACTGAGTCTACCAGGGAGCGGTGGAGTACAGAATCCAACCCAGGGAGGCTTCCTTCTCTGGGGACCTTTTCCCTTTGACGCTTCTCCCTTGGTCTCAATGCTTGAACCAGCATTTCTGAAAACGAGCTTGGAGGAACCTAAATTCCATCCCGTGAGATGCTCCTGGAAAGAAAGGATAAGGCTAGGAGATGGGCAAGGAGAGGGGAAGGCACTCTCAGGTTGTACTTGGGCACCTTTCTCTAGCCATTGAAAGAAACCAAAGGGGCAATTTCGGTCTACTGAGAGTCTGCATGGAGATCAGAGCTACAGTGGGAGGGGTGAGGAGAGACAAGCATGGGCTGGATTTTGTTCCTCCTTCTCTCAGCTCCCACATCCAAAGGGACAAAGCGCCATCCATCCTGACATGTCCCCATTCACCATCACCACTGCCACAGTCAGTGTCTCCGGTTCAAGCCCTCATCACCCTTCCACAGTGCCAGGAACTCCAATGGACTCGTTTTCCAGTCCCAACTTCCTATCCCACACCACCCATTCTAAAACACAGACCTGACCCCCTCTCCCTAATGAAGACCACCCAGCCTACAGGACAGAGTCCAGCCCCCACAGAGCAGGCAAGGTCTCTACCTGTGTGGGTACTGGAGTCACATGGGGCACAGTGGACACTAAGACTAACCTTTGGCTGGCGACGTGGACACACATGTGTTCAGGTGCCCACATCCACAGCCGTGCATCGAGGATAGCATGACCAACCAGAGCTGCTGGCAGGATTACATCCAAGCTGTAGACAGCCTTGCTCCTCAAGAACCATGATGGAGATGACTACCTGTCCCCCACCTGGGTCCTGGAGCCTATGCTCTGCCACCTCTTCATAATGAATAACTAGCCATGAACTCAAGGGCAAAGAAGACTCATTAGAGATCTACACACGAAAGGTCACTGACCTAAAGATTAAGCTACCAAAATGGGAAAGAAACCAAAATTAACTCACTATCAAAACAATGCAAGAAGAGGGAAGGAATTGGAAAACATTACTCTGGGGAGGAAATGTTTCTAAAACATATAGCTCTATGATTTCCTGGACTTCATTTGTTCCAAAAATTAGGAAGATTACATTTCAAAAGCTCCCAAAGGAGACACTTCTATTTTTTTGAAAACTCTTTCTTAATTAATATCTTCAGAGAACTAAGAAGTACTTTTATGGGCTGACGGAATCTTAATAAAATTCTCCAAGAAATTCTGGCATCAGTCACAACAAACACCCTCTTGGAATTTAATTTCCTTTCCAGCATACAACTTACTATGGAAACTCACTTATGATGCCACCACAACCAGTCAAAATCTGCCTGGAGCACAAAAACTTCAAAGACCCACAAGAGAGCCTTATAGGATGGGATGGAAACTGGCCCCAAACTCAGCCAGATCCTATACCTAACCAAGATTTCCTCACATCGACCTTTCTAACTTGTACTGTCAGATTCCACTCTTCCATCTCCTGTCCAGCCCTTAGACCACCCTGTCCTCAGCCCACCCTGCCCTCCCACCTTACACTGTGGCTCTTCCAGTGCCTCCTTCCAGCTAAAAACGCTCCCAAACTCAGTATCTTTCTCCCTGCCCAACAAAACGAATGAAAAGGAGACAGGGCACCAAATGCACAAAGGGAAACCAGCCCCACCCATCTTCAACTTTCTATCAAAGACTGTCCTTTCTAGCTCCTGGTTTTGCTCTCCCTCCTTTTAGATGATGGCAGGGCCTAGAATATTTACCATGTGCACTGAGCACTGGGGCAGGAGGGCAAAAGCTGGAAGTATTATTCATAAGTACAAAGATGTACCCCAAAAGCCTTTTTTTCCCTTGAGGACAATTCCTATAGGAAGACTTCATTAATCCCATTATCCGGAGGGCCTGTGAGCAAGGGGAGAGAAAGGGGTGAACGCCAACCTTCATTGAGCACACACTGTAGACCTCAGTTAATATAAGGCAGTGATCCTGATTTTATGTATGAGAACAGGCTCAGAGAGGTCAGGGGATGGGCTCAGGAGGTACACTGAGGCCTACCAGATACCAAGACTCACAGACTCAAGCTTCCAGTACCCCCAAGTGCTTACATTAAAATATAGCCTGGGCTACAAGATACTTTACATCTTACACATTGCTTTTCATATACATTATGTCATTTCCTACCACCACCCTGTAGGAGAGCTAAGAATTCTTTTTCCACTATTACACAAAGGCTATCTGGTTTCAAAGATCACCAGTAAGTTGCACAAGCCAGCTGTAACACTTATAGTTTGTTTCTTCAGTGTCTAGTAAGTGGTAGAGCCTCAAATATAACTATTATTAGCTTCATAATTTTCACGAATTTTATAGCCCTAAGTGAAAATAAAACTTGCACACACAGACAAGCACACATACATAAACACTATAGATATTCTAAAGATTCAATCTAATTAGTTACACATTTACATATTGGGAGAGGACTTAATTTTACCACTTCGGACTCAGAGATAACCACTAACTTCAGCCTCCAAGAAAATGACAAAAAAAGGATTACTGAAAATGATGTGGTCAAACCCAATATGGATTTTGAAAGCTAATGGAAGAGAACAAAAGGATAGGAGCATTCAAGTTGTGATAAAACACAGAAAGAAAGAAAAAAAAATCCTCCTCCCCTTCCAGCATCATGGCTTCCTCATTAATGTGCCATTTGGCCCGGTCACGTCATTTCAACTCTGGGGTGCCCCTCAGTACCCAAACAGGAGAGCCAGCAGATGACCTAGAAGTTCTAGTCCGAGGTTGCCCAGCAGGTCTGGGGTCTGGGGGTTAAGTGGAGTGGACACATTATGACTTCAAGTTATTTTTAACGTGCTGCATCTAAAGAACTGTTTGCAGATGAATGACACTCACTTGAAAGGACACCAGGGAAGAAATGCCAGATGCAACAGGAATCGGCACACGACTTCTCAAACCACAGTGAAAAAGACGATGGAAGTGTGTTGGTACAAGGATCCCAGTATCCGTCAGACAGAAGGAAATCTTTAGTACAATGGCAATGAGAGATCCTGGGGGTGTTCTCCGAGTAAGGCTGCACCAAGACCAACCCAGCGGAGCCTCCAGGGCAGGCTTGAAGGTTAAAACGAAAGAAAAAAAATTCAGGTCTGCAGATAAGATAGACATAGTTTTTTCAAAGCATTTTTAACAACTGTAGAGTCAAAACAGCTGGACAGCCACATATGCTAATGGCCTGCATGAGAACAGTATTCATTCTATAAATCTTGTACCAATTATTATTAGTTGTTTATTTTGTTTTGCTGTTTGCGGTCTTTCTTGCATCTTATCTGTTCTAAGTGCCTCCTGGTATCCTTATCATCTGCTGATGCTGAGGTCCTGCGTCTGATCTACTCTCACAAGGAAAAAGATTTCAGTCTCCCTCAGAAGCTGACTCCTGTCTAGTTCTGTTTTTATACCCCATTTCAGAGAAAAGGAAACTGAGGTTCAGAGAGGGCCCATCCAAGGTCATCCTCCTTGCTGACAGATTTAGGACTATAACTAGGGTTCAGAAGGCCCAAGGTGTGGATCTCCAGTTCTACGGGTCACTAATGACCTGGCATACTTGTGTCCTGAATACCAAGTTTATTTGAAAAAAAAAAAAAAAAAGAGAGAGAGAGAAAAGCGAGATGAGTCATCGCTGTTGTCAAGGGGCACCACACAGGCTGTTCTAATAAGGCATCCAGCATCTCCAGAACCACTTGTTTCTGAAATAACCAGCCTCAGCCAGGGAATCAAGGGCCATGTCTTGCTCCCCTGAAGGATGCCCCGGACCCCGCGAGCAGCAGACCCGCTGGGCTTTACGGACCTGCTGGCCCAGCCCCGGGAATCCCTGACATTTCCTAAGCAGAGGGAACGAGGTGGGTGGGTATGGGTGGAAGTCGGAGTTGCGCTTTCAGACAGCGCGCTGCGGTAGTCAGGATTTCACACAGTCCAATCCTGCTCACCTTGGAACCCTAAATATCTCGCCCACTCGAGGGTCCCTCCTCAACTTCCCCCGGACAAAAGCACTGCGGTGTAGGAGGTGAACCTGACAAACAGGGGGGGGAGGTACCTGCCCCAAGCGCTGGAGGAAACAACGCTCAGCTCCCTCTCGCACCCCTTAAAAGATCTCCCCATCCGGTCTTCAGACGCCAGAGGTGTCCCCAACTCTGAGCCTGACCCCTGTCTCGGGGTCTGCCCCAAAGGAGGCGGAAAGTAGGGAAAGCCCACTCCTCATCGCTCTACCCCGCCACCGGCTCGCCCCCGCACCCCCCCACCTCGCCGTGCTCGTCCTCCCCAGGAGGGCCTCTCTCCCTCCCTCCTCACCCGCAGGGAGGGACGCCCTCCCCCCACCCCACGGCCGGACACTTGCCCACTGCAACCGGGAGAGCCAGCGCGCACCTCCTTTTCCCCCGCCCGCGGAAGAGCCGCGCGGCTCCCGCCTTCCCAAAAGGGGCCCTCCCGGCCGCCGCGCCTCCCGCCCGGGACCGCCCCTCACCGCGTCCCTGCGTCCCCCGGGGTCCGCCCCGCACCCGCACTTCCCGCCCGGCCCACGCGGACTAGCGGTCCGCCCCAACTTTTCCGGCCGCGGCCCCGTTCCCGCAGCGGCGGGGACTCCCGTCCGGAGCCGCGACTGGCTGGCGGGCTCGCGGCCCCTCGGCCCCCGCCCGCCCCGCCGGCCCGAGTTGCGCTCGGGACCGGCTCGGCGCCCGGGCCTCGGCCGGCAACCCGGCGCGGAGGCGGAGCCGGAGTGGCGGGAACCGCGCTGTCCCGGCGCGGGCACCCCCGCCCGGTGCCCGGCGCCCGATCCCTGCGCCCGCCCGCTGCGCCGCCGCGCCGCTCCCTGCCCACCTGCCCGCGGGCGCCGGCGCCGCTCACCTCCTCCCGCGCCGCCGCCGCCGCCGCCGCCACTGCCGGGAATACGTGGCAGTGGCCGCCGCCGCTCGCGCTCCCCGCCTCGCCTCTCCTCTCGGCGCCCGCGCGGGCGGCTCCGGCGCGCCGGACCGCAGCGCCAGGCGCCCTCTGCCGCCAGGAAGCCGAATCCTCTCGCCCTAACCCTAACTCGCCGGCCGCCCCCCGCCCGGACCTGGGCCCCAGCTCCCCGCCTTCACCCCCGCCCCCGGCCCCCGCCCCGCCCCGCCCCCCGGCTCGGCCCGGCCCAGACACTCGCCTCCGATGGGGTTCCGCAGGGCCGCCGGACCAGTGTCGCATACCGGGCCCGGGCTGACACCGCCTCCAGGGAGGCTGCCCTGACCACCCAGCCGCTTGGCGCCCCCGGTACAGGTCATCCTCGGGCTGACACATTTCCTGCTTCTCCGACTGGGTCGCCCACGAGGTACTACAGTCGGAGAGGGGGCGGACGGGGGTGGGTGCAGGGGAGCCAAACACCACGTCTCTCGCGCTAGCCATTCTCTCCGCTAGGGCTAGGTTTGCGCTCTGCCTGGAATACCGAAGTGCGCAATAAATAACTTGGTGAGGGAACGAAAGAGTGAATGAATGAGTAGAGATTTGTGCAGCTCGCCACAGGAGGCCTTTAAACCTCCAGCGGACGGATATCTTTTTTTTTTTAATTTTTTAAAGATTTTATTTATTTGACAGAGATCACAAGTAGGCAGAGAGAGAGAGACGGGGGGAGGAGGAAGCAGGTTCCCCTCCGTGCAGAGACCCTGATGTGGGGCTCGATCCTAGGACCCTGAGATTGGGACCCTGAGATTGGGACCCTGAGATTGGGACCCGAGCTGAAGACAGAGGCTTTAACCCACTGAGCCACCCAGGCTCCCCCAGCGGACGGATATCTTGACCTGGATTTGTTTTTGTAAATTACACAGACACGTGGGCAGCTTAGCTTGAATAAACGGGATTCCCGGTTTCCCACCTCAGACCAGCACCAAAGCCGTGCAGGGCCCACAGCTAAATGTTATATGGGGCATTTAGTCAAATAGACTGAGGGTTTGGGCTCTACCACTCAGAAGCCAGGAAATCTCCAGGAAGCCGGTCTCCCTGGGCACAGTTACCTCATCTATAAATTAAGAATAATAAAATCTATGTCCAACGCGTTGTTGTGAGGAGTAGATGAGATCATGGGTTGTATGCAAAGCTCTTTGCCCAGCTGCCCTGCCACGCACGCGCACACACACGCGCGCGCACGCCACGTAACAGTAGTGTCTAAAATGGTCGCAATTTTCACTATTATTACTGATCTAGTAGATTATAAAAACTATAGATGAAACGTTAAAAAAAAAAAAAAAAAGGCTACCTTTCACCTGAGGACAGCCTTAATACCCTGTACCTGTGGGACTGTCACCCGCCCAAAAGGCCTCTCCAGTCCCTCCTCACCACCAAGAATTCTCTGGTGTTGATTGTTTAAAGAGCCCAAGAACTGGCTCTCCTACAGGGTTTTCAAGCAGCCTTTCCCTGGCCAATGTCTTCATTAACAAGTGTTTATTTTATTGCAAAGGCAGTGAACAGTTTGAGGGTCATGGCAATCGACTCCCTCTTCCTCTTCCCTTGGCCCCTCTCTCCACACTGGAAGCCATCTTTTCACTTTTGACTGTCTGCTTCCTGCTCCTCACTTAAGGCAGCTGTGAGGAAAGTGTCTTGCCCTCAGGTGGGACTGGGCTGGCCAGCCCATCCCCCTTGGGCTTTGGGCACCTCAGTTCCCTCAGGGGTGAACTGTAGAGAATGACCCTTATCTGGGGCATTGAGAGAATTGGTGACCCAGTCTCTGAAAGAAGTACCTGGAACACAGAAGTGTTTAGTAAAAGGCAATGATTGATTGATCATTTCAACAAGCATTTAGGGAGCGTCTACTGAGTGGTATAGGTGAGGAAAATAAGCGTGGGGGAGGTGAGATGCCTACCTTGGAAGGAGTTTGAGTTCTAGGAGATGAGACAGGCACGTTCGTTTGGCCACACATACTAGGGGGGAGGAATGGGGGAGGGAGACATGTGTGCCATTAAATATGAAATTAGCAAGCCTCAAGTCCCAAAGTGGGGCAGTGGTATTACTGTGTGGCTTGCTTGAATTCATTATAATTGTAAATGCCATTTTCCTCTAAATATTATGTACATAACTTCCCAAAGCCACTGCTAAAAATTAATGAATAATTTTATGAGGCAAGCAGAGCCATTTGATGTAGGATTCAGTCCATTAATAAGGTGACTCCAAATGCTTCCTTATACTGGTAATAACATCTCTATTGCGTCTTTGTGAAAGCACCATAATTTATAAGTTAAGGCTCTGTATCTTGCAATGCATGTCGAAGAAGGGAAGTTCACACATTGTTGCACTAATGACCTCTAAGGAATCATGCTCAGTGTCCGTGGCCTTGCTGCAGCCCCCTCCCACGCTGACTTTGGACTAGGTTACGTGACGTTCGTGGGCCAATGGGATGTAAGCAAACATGGAAAAAGCAGAGAGGACTGATGAGCACTTGTGCCTTGGGCTCGCTGTCTTGGAATGTCATGAAGGAAGTGAAGACACAGATCTGTAGAAGACTTGCCATGCTGGGTCGGTGTGCGACACTGGGAACGGGACAAGGACTCACACTCAGGATAAATGAGAAAACACTGCCTGGTGAATCAGGGATGTGCCCTGTCACACTATGCTGGGCTGGGGATAAATTTTATCAGCAGCAAAGCAAGAGGGAGAGGTCTCCAATGGGGAAGTCTAAGTGCCTCAGAGCGTTTGCCGAAGTAACAACCCTGAGATCTGAAATTGGGTTCAGCTGCCAGGGGCAGAGGTTGGCAGTGTGTGTTCATAAACGTGCTCCCTGGGCCCCTGTGTGTGCCTGCCGAGTGGTCTCTACAGGGGCCCCAGGCTTATCTTTGGTTGTGTGGGGGCAGCTCGTCTGTGGAGCGGTTTTGGCCATTCAGGGGCAACCTGAGAGTCATAAGAGCAATGCAAAGCTAAATGTTTTCCTTTCTTGTATAAGTGAGTATTGTATTTGTGATAGTTGGGGGGTTTTGATTTTGGTCTTTTTTTTTTTTTTTTTTGGCAAAATGAGAAGTTGGCAGCCTCAGTTTCCTCCCAGCCATTTT